TTCAGCTTCCCCGACCGGGCGTCTGCGACCGCCGACGCGCTGTAGGCGGTGTACTTGCCCCGCAGCAGTCGCTCCATCTGCTTGTTGAACATGCGGTCGAGCGGTTGGAGCAAGGGCGTCAACCCGCCTGGGATGAAGACGACGATGGTGTTGGCGTCTCTCTTGAGGGCGGTGATGAAACCCTCGTCCTTGTGGCACTTGAAGTCGTCCAGCACCAGGATGCACGGGCGCTGCTGGACGATGCTGCCTTTGTTGGGACGGAGCTTACAGCTGCCCGAGATCCACCCGTTGCACTCCCGCTGGTCACTCCAGCTCTTCTCCTGCACGCCGAAGGACATGCCATTGGCAGGGTGGCCGTGCTTGGCGCGGTTCGCAGGATGGATCTCCCACGCGACGGAGTTCTTCCGCGGCAGGGTGCTCTTGCCCTTGCCGCTCACAATCGGGGGGATGAACGGCGTGCCCTAGAAGATGATGCGCGGCGAAACCTTTTTGCCGTCCGCCATGACAGCCAGAACGAGCGTGAAGCGTTCCTTCTCTTTGCCTGAGGGGAGGGGGAAAAAATCAACGCGAGTGGAGGGAGGGGGGGGGAGTAGAGTGTTGAATATTTCTGCGAGGACAGCGGTGTGTGGTTGATACAATGGATGCAAGCGGTACCGGACGTTTCGAAAACTAAGTTGGTTGATGGTTTGGATGCAATGAAAAAGGAAGTGTAGAATTATCCCGCGGAAAAAGGTAGCAACCCTCCTGTGTCTACCGATATGGCTACATCGCACCGTGTACCGGCACGCAAAAAAAACGTGTGTCTTAAAACAATGTCCAACGACAAAAGTTCCGCACACCACACAAAATTTTGACAAAAATATTAGCTCGCCCTCACCTCCTGTGCTGATGCGAGCATCCTTAGCACCGGTCTTCTCCAGAGTGGTCTCCACCGGCATCTCGTGCTGGACTAGCGTCTGGTCCATGTTGCCAAGTTCCTCGAAAACCTCCGCCTCCACAGACGCCAGCTGCTCGGAAGTCAGATCCTCCCCTTTGATGGGGCTCTCGTCAGGTGCCGGCGTGTGGCGCCGAGCGTAGATCTCACCGGCGCGCTTTACGAGAGCCTCGCGCAGCTTCNCCATGTTGCCGAGTTCCTCGAAAACCTCCGCCTCCACAGACGCCAGCTGCTCGGAAGTCAGATCCTCCCCTTTGATGGGGCTCTCGTCAGGTGCCGGCGTGTGGCGCCGAGCGTAGATCTCACCGGCGCGCTTTACGAGAGCCTCGCGCAGCTTCATCACCTTCGCCCACGCCATAACCTCGTACCCCTTCGGCAGTTTCTGGCCCACGCTGGTACGCCGGCGGATGCTGAACCCATTCCGCTTGCGGAACCGTTGGTACCAGGAGTTGAATTTGACCTTGAAAGCCAGCGCCTCCTCCGGTTTCGCGTTCGCCGGCATTCCGCCAAGGGCGTCAGGCTTCAGCTCGAGCAGCTTGTTCATCACCTCCCGATTACCACAACCGCGGTGCTGCTTGCGCTGCTCGTTGATGTAGCCCACAAGGGCTTGTTCGGCGTCGACTGCCGAAGCTTTTCCTCCGCTGTGAACCTGCTTGGCCTTCGAAAGCTTGGGGTTGGCGCTGACCTTCTCCCTGAGCTGCTCCTCCTGCTTCAGCCACTCGATAATACGCTTCCGAGGCACCTGGAGAACTTTCGCAGCACCGTTGTTTCCCACGGGTTGACCGTCGCACGGGCGGATCTCCCGTGTGTAGGCCGCCGCGTTCAGTTTGAACCGGATGGGGTAGCTCCCTTTCCCTCCCACTGCTCCTGACCGCTCGATCGGGAAGTTGGGCTCCGGGTACGCGCGTTTGCCGTTGCTGCTTTTGACGGGGTCGTTGGCGGCTAGCATCTCATCGATAGCCTCGCCGGTTGCCTTCGGATCCGCAGCGGCAGCTCCCTGATCCGCAGAGGAAGGACCGCCAGCACTAGCCTGTGAGGCCTGTGAGGCGTCGGCAGGTCCCGCGCTTGCACCCTCCGACATCGTAACCGCGCGTTGCGTGTGGTCGAGCCCGCAGCTACGTCCCGGGCATTTTCCCGATTTTCCGCCGGTATTTCTCCGCCACGGAACTGGTGGGGGGGCAATTCCCCGAGACTCGTTTGTGTGTGCAGCTACTATAACAGCT